TCCCTTGAGTCTGTTGCTTTAAAAGACATAATAATTAAACGATCTGTGCGAGTTAAAACGTAGTAAAACAGCAGCACAAATACAGAAGAGGCATCACGTCGACAAAGTGAGTTACAGTAGGTTACTGTAGTGAGCGCACTGATTTGAGCAAGTTGTGAATTTCCAACATTTCACGCGTAAAAGGAGGATTGTGATATATTCTGTTTCAAATTCAAACGGTCTCACTTCACAATAACATCGGCTCAAATTCACTGCGTGTAACTGATCTCTATCACATAATCTGCAATGTCTAATGAGCAGAGAAACAACAGTTATCATCACACCAGCGTGCAAAAACATAAATATTGTAGTATTTTTTTAGATGTTGAGATTAAAGCAGGCTGTTTTCTGGTGCTAGTAAAAGATTTACACATGCAGCAATTTTTTCTGAGCAATGTCTAGTGATGTGGAAGTCCACGATTGTGCAACACTGACTATAAAACACCCTTTACGACCAGGAAAAAGATTTTAAAGCAATACACTACATCTGATATCACAATGCCATGTATTGATACATTATCCAAAGTAAAGTGACAGAAAATCCCCTTCGTTTCACGCGTAAAGTCACACAATAAGGAGTTTACAGCCACCTTATTGTGCTAAATGTACTTTAATCATCTCATATGCAATCACTGTGACATTCCTATAGGGGCCTATTGGCTAGTTCTTCCTGCTATTTTAGTATATTACCACCTAAATTGCATTAAACATAGGAGTTAAGCTTCCAGTGACAACGCATTTATCCACACATGAGACTGCAATCACATTTTAAGACTGACAAGTATTTTTACACGGCAGGTGAACACATGCATTTGTAGGTATGCCCACTGGTTACCTACCAGTCTGAGCCATCTGTGGAGAAAACATTCAGTCGAAAATCCTCTCTGAGCAAGAAACGCGGTCCTCCCGAGCCTCTACACAGCCTTAAAATTCAACTCACGGTGTTATTTCCACCGTTAATGTCGACAAACACGACCGCGGGGAAGAAACACACCTTCCTCGGTACAGAAACACCCTCGCTGTCTGTCCTCGGTGTCCCAGTGTGAAGCTACCGCTGATGACACTGCTGTCAGCCCTGGATCAACGCCCACAACCAACACTGCGGGCGCACGCTATTGGTGGGTGGGCTCCGTTCCCTGCCAGCTGATTGGCCGACGCGGCTGTCAATCACGCGTCTGCCCGGGAACCAGGATCACCTGTTGCTCCGTCTGTTACACTTTTTATAACGGCAATGTTTTTAACGTTAACGTAGCCGCAGAAAGATGGCGTGTTTGTTTTTTTAGTCCGTTTTCTTTATAGATGAACGACCGGAGAGGCGACAAAGCTACATTTAATTTTAAAGTTTTATGTTTGTTTTAAAGTCAGGCCAGAAAATATACACTGTAAAACCATAGTTAATTTAACTACATTTTTTTTTACGTTTTTAACAAAATTCTATACGTTGAAAAACATTCTTCATCAAGTAGCTTTAGTCATTTTAAGTGACTTAATTTTGTAAATTTTTTATTTGTACTGTGAAAACAAAATAACCCTAGGTTTTTAAGTTACAGAAACATTCCTGATGAATAACAGTTTACTAAGTTAGTGCCACTTTAAATTAGTAGTAAAATCTGCTTGATCAATAATCTTTTTTAACCTACTGCTTAAAACAATTTTTTAGGAGTTAAAATAACTTGTCTGGTTTTACAGTGTATTTTTTTTTTTAATACATTTTGATTACGTTCATTAGAAATTAATGTACCACCTAATTTAAAATAACGGACATAAAATGCAGTTAAATAGATGAAAAAAATATATTATATAATATAATTCGCTCGTAAATGCGGTTAGTTAATGTTATATTTTATATTTATATTTTACAGCCAATATTAATCCATTAACGGACATTCAGAAAGCTCGCGGATGAGCTAGCAGCCGTTAGAAAACGTTAATAACCGTTAAAAGTTATAAAAAGATTCAAATTTACCGTTGATTCAGCTCCTCGTGTCAGCGTGTTTTCCCTTTTTCTGTCAGTTTGTGTGTGTGTGTGTGTGTGTGTGTGTGTGCAGCGCCGCCCCGTTCACTGTGTTTGTGTTTGAAATGATTGGTCCGGAGGCCGGAAAGAGCCCCAAACACCGCCGCCTTATGTAACGTGTGTCTGTTGTCCTGCTGACATTGTAGGTCACAGTAGTTTGCTTTTTATTGTGTTTATTTTATGAGAGACAGGAAATGTAACACAGGGCATAAACCAGTGATGGAGGGAGGACTCACATCCGTTCAAAAATAAATACTTATATAATAGTTACTGACCTAATCCGAGTATCACAACGTTAAAGTAACGTGATTTGATTACTTTACGTTACTTTTGGATTACCTAAACACACAACAATATGTAAATAAAAGTGTCAATAAGAAGTATTAATGTAATATATCTATAATGTATTTTTAAACATGAACTGATGTTTTAAAATGGTAATCCTGTTAAATAATGCCAATATTTACTAAATGTAACTGTAATCTGATTACATCTTTCCCCATAACTAATGGATTACAGTTACCCTTTTTTTGTAACCCGATTACATCATTCAGTTACATGTAATCTATTACTCCCAAAGCCTGTCTTTTATTTAAGTAGACGTGCCAATACAATCATTTATTTTCTTCCTACATTGATAATTTCAACTCACGTTTAAAATGCTGATCGCGAAGCACAAACAACTAAAGAGAGTTACATTAAAAGTTAATTAGAATCACCAGTTTCAAATTATATCCGATTCATGATTATTTTTTTCCATCTAATTCCTCAGTTTGGTACCTGGAATATTTTCCATTTAAACTAAAATAAAACGAGTTACCTTTTGGTCCATTTTAAGTCATGTTGACCACTTTTAAAATCTCTTAAGTCTGCTTAAAAACCACAGAAACGTATGAAATATAATGAAAAGTATAAAAAAATACCATTTAAAACCAATTTCCTTTAGTAGGCTTATGACTCATGTTTTATTTACATATTTGTTGTTTATTTGTTTAGATAGTCCTCTGCCAAATGTCTTCTGTTAGATGTCTTTTTGTAGTAAATATAATATTAGCCATTATCAATAACCTGGAAGGAGAGACTACCTCCCTCTTAAACTTATTTTAATTTAATTTAATTACCATGTTCAGTATTAGAAAGGATAACAGGGGATTAAGATCAGAAAAACACATGGCAGCCTGTGGGTCATGTGTTTTAATTTTATATATAAATAAATATAAATATATATATATCCTGCCAGTTATGCACAGAGCCTCAGATGACTCATTGAACACATATGTGCAGCACTTCAAGTTATGCGTCGAACATGTGCCGTCTTCACGTGTTTATAATTGTTGGCGTACCGAACGAGCAGCTGTCAGTGGACCAGCGGGCGTCATAATGTGGTGGATGACCTTCGTGACACCACAGTCGCTCCACGTCTTCTGCCTTAAACTATACAAAATCTCCAAATATGGCCAATCTATTCAGTCCTTTCCAGTTCGTTATGTGCTCAGTGGAAGTATTCAGAGCCGTTACTTTAGTAAAAGTACTAATAATACAACGTCCTGCATTGTAGCTGCTTGATGTACAACCATATATACAGCTATGGTTCCCAGCATGTGGCCCGGGCCCCTCCGAAGGGCCACGGGGTGAATCAGAGGGGTTATGATGTGATTAATTGGGGTTGGAAAGAAAACTTTGGGACGAGTACCCCCCCAACTTGTACTTTCCACCGTCGGCTTACAACTCAACAATAACAACAGTACTGTAACTGTAGACAGGATGTATGTATTTCATTCAAACTTTATTGAGACTAAAACAAACCCTGTAACCATCTGAAAGATAGTAAAACCACATTAAAATGTATAAACAATACATAATATTCTTTGGGAAATGGCTGTAAGTCATATGCTTTAATGTTAAGTAGACCTGAATCACAGTAAATAGACTAAAACATGCATCATCGCTATAGATAAACTCATTAATCGGTCGGATAATCTGGCGTTTTGAGTATCTCGTCAAGGTTATTTTGTTTTACGTCTGTTAATATAGCTTGTTGGATTTAATTTGTGCACATTTAACCCTTTAAAGAAAGCAAAACAATCACATAATAAGAAAAAAATTCAATTTAAAAAAGAAGAAAGTCAGGATCTATTTTTCCAGGATCTCGAGAGTTTCTCCTCCACACGTTCCAAGAAGGCGCTGTACGCTCCTCTTCTTCGTCGGTGTCTCTGTGAAACAGACATTCAGTGTCAGTATTAAAATAAGTGTAACTCCAGGCTCCAAATGTTTCCCTTTTCTGGTAGTAAAAACTAACTTTACTTTCACTTTAATTCAGTGCCACAAACCACATTATTTCCTGATTGGAGTCATTATTTAGCTGCATGTAGATCTTTGTTTTGATTAACTTTTTTCCTGTACGGTTTAAAAGCACAATACTTTGGACATTATACTGTGGTACCATGTAATCAGGGTGGAAGAAGTAAAAGTATTGTATTACAATCCTGCATTTAAACTGTTCTTAAAGTAACTACAGCTGTCAGATACAGTAATTTCCTTCTGAAGTGTAGAAGTAACACAGACGTAGTTCTTTATATGACACCAAATACACTGACGGTGTATGAGGCAGATTTCGGAGGCCATGGCGGCTGAGGAAGTAAGAGCCTCGCATCCCATCTGGGCTCTGCAGGTTTATGGGTGTCCACTCTTGTCTTCGGGTCCCTTGAACTGTAGCCCCACTCAGATTTAGTGGTCCGAACTGGAAAAGAAAATATTAATTCATGCATTCGGTTATTTGTGCCGAAAAGAGTGTTTGAAAATGTAGAGAAACTGGCTTTTGAATGAACAAGAAGACCTTTATTCTTTCCATTTCAGGCCCTGACACAAAATGCATTTGTTTCAGTAAATGGTGGTGGCACAGTTCAGATATATAATGGAGTGGAAAGTGGAAAGTTTCAGCCAAGATTACCTTTAAAGATAAAGTAAATTCACTTACTAACGTCCATGTGCTTTAATTTTAAATTCAGGTTGCCAGGATCTCTCTCGTATGTAGTAACTATGTCTGGAAGGTCTTCATCGAGCTGAAATCAGTGATAAAAACACAAAAAAGTTGACTTTCTTTTACTTTTTGTACATTTGTGTTTATCGCCATCTTGTGGTAGGTTAAGATTTTACAAACTACCAGTGTTTGATTCAGTAAATGTACCACAGTGTGAAAATACTCTACTTCCTGCTTTCAAAACCTTTCTTTACCTTACAAATATGTACTCATGTGATCAGCCAAAGTAGCAGTAAAATTGTCCAACTCAGTGTTTTACTATTTTATATATATATATATACATATATATATATGATGTTTTTGGATCAATATTACTGCTACATTCATGTGTTGTATTTAACTGCTGTAGATGTT